AAGTAAGAGGTAGTAGTTTACGCTTTGAATCCAGATGTTTCAAGCATGGAAAAATGATCGATTGCGAAGGCTTTCGAAGGAGCGAAAACAGCGCATACAAAACAAAGAAAATGATGAATTAAAAAAGAAACGCGAAACGGAAATAAGAAATAATGAGGCTCAAAAGGCATTCAATGCATGGTAAACGAGTTTGTGCTTCTTGTTTTATTATATTTCTGTAGTTTGATGGAAAGTGAATTAAAAGATATTTAAACAGTAGCAAAATTATAAATAAATCGCCCGGATCTAAGTGTCCTCCTTTGGTCACCCTGACAGTTCGAGGCATACCAGGCAATCTTATTTCGTACTACTGTCACTGACGGTAGTAAGAAATAAATTTGCTCAGTTAATAAAAGGATAACATAAAACTGATAATTAATCATAAATAATGTTTGTTTTGCATTAACAAAGTAATGGTCCCAACCACCACAATATTTTCGTAATCATAGTCCCTAGTAAAATAGATCGCTCAGCAAGAAATCATTTATCGAAATTATGGAATTAGGACTAAAGAGTCGTTGATGATGGTAAAATGTTTTTAAAAAAGACAAACCGGTATATTTACCAATATTCTTGTGAATATTTTTTTGTTGCTTTTATATCTTTTAATGTCAAATTGTTTCAATGAATTCAAATATTACATAAGAAAGTGAGAAAAATGAAAGCAATTTGAGGTATAAAGAAAACAAAATTCGAAATTTGGAAACGCAACGCAAGCTTCTGAAATCCAGGAAGACGGAGGAAATGCAGAGTAGGAATACAAAGGAATATAAAGAAGCACTAGCAAAAGAAGCTTATGATGTTTGGTTTCAAATAAAGGTTTTTTCGAATTTTCCGGTTCTCACAAATTTGGAATATAGTAGGTAGTTACTGCACTCAGCGTCAAAATAAAAGTTATTAAAATACAATAAACAGAAACGTAGTTTTTCAGGAAAGTGAACGCCATTTTAACGAATCGTTACAAGGTCGAATCATGAAATTTGATGAAATGACCCGTCGATCACATTTAGTTCCATGGATTCCACCAGGTAATATTATTCCACGACATTTCATTCCAACACGTACTGGAAGGCATCAGTCCGTCAAACGACCTGTCAAATCTAACCAGGCTTACAAAAAGTCGCCATCAGCGATTCATCGCTCCAAGTCAGCGCTTAGATAAAATTGTCTCTCATATGAGAATTTATTGGTTTGAAATATGATTTCAGTGGAGGGATTAGTACTGAAGGTTTTGCTGAGCGTGAACTGTGGAATTTTTTTGTTTTTTGAAGAAAAACATGGAATTTCAAGCGTATTGAAGTTAATCATGACCGTAATAACCACTTAATTATTCAGTGTAGCACATCTTTTTGATCAGCTGATTAAATGCCAAAAGTTGTCTCGAATTACTTTCTGAGAATGACTCACACGTCATTCTCAGAAGGTAATTCAAGCTACTCTATATGATCTAATGTCAAGCTGAACGACTGGTAATCGTTTTTAACTTTCTACAATTTTTTAAAATACAGTTAATCATGAATGACTCAACCTTTTGGTCAAATAGTTCCGTAATCAAATCTCGATTCTGCATTACTTCCATTTAATGAAGTATATGCGCTTATATTTATGTTATAAAATGATTTCTTTTGCATATATGAACTGTCAAATCTGCAGGATTTTAGAACGAGAAGGAAACGTGCCACGAAAGGAAACTTGTTTTTTTTTTTTCATTTAAAGAACTTTGAATCATAGGCTACCTGTACAAATGTTCCCTACCAGAAGTCCAATTATATGATAGATCCAATGTTGTCACTGCAAGTTTTGAGTAAGCCGGAAATATTTCAAATTTATCATTTTGATCAATCATTTTCATATGATTCTTATGAACTAGCTTTATGTATTATGTATGTGAAGTCATTGTGCACTTTAATAATTTCATTATTGAAATACTGAATAAAATGTTTGCTCAGTGCTCAATCTCTTAACTTTTGCAAAATAGAATTTAGTATCAAAAATAAACATATAACCCGATAACTTTATCTATGGCTATACATTTATGACTAAATAGCAAATTGTTGTAAAATGTGTATTTATAAGTGTAACGATGATGTTACAAAGAACATTAAAAATTCGAAAAAAAAATTTAGAAGAGAAAGATTAGAAATTTTAGATGATGCGAAATATTTTAAATGTCAGCATAATACTATTTTCTCCACTTATTTTGAACATCTGAATCATTCTTCCATGATTTGATATCACCCAACTGATATGATTCCGTACTTTGATAAAGCATCCAAGTCAAATTTTGCAGCTGATCTATTCTGTTTGTATGAAGCATTATTGGTTAAATACTCAGCAAATAAAGAAAACATTTCGTAAAATTTTTGAAAGCAAACGTTCAAAAATTGATGAAAAAAAGTTAAACTTTAATACAATTAGTTATTAAATGTAATTTAAATATAACCTTAGTAAAATGGAAATCAATTCAAAGTATGAGAAAAAAGTCGGAATTTATCGTCCTCTTTTGTTTATCTTTTATGACCGAAAATTGACAAGATTATCACGTTTATTATTACATAGGTCATTATTACATAGGGTATAGTTTATTATTACATCATCAAAATTTTATTTCATTTGATTTCGGAGTTAATTTTATTATTTATGACCATGATTGATAATTCCGATGAAACAACGATTTTTTTCATTTGAAAATGCAAAAACTATAAGTTATGCGTGAAGTGAATTTTATATGTAATTGTATCTTTCTATTTCTGTCTGAAAACTGTTTGATAATTTTGCTTTCATATATGCTATTTGCAGATCAAAATGATGATATGAAAGGAAATGAATCATCAAAGGCACAATTACCTGTCCAGGAAGATCAATGATCACAACCAATACCTGCATATGTTGAAAACGCTGATGATTGCATGTCTATTATTATCATTATGATTCATCTAGCTCTCTTTAATTCATCACAAACCAATCGATCCCTACGCTAGGCATTATGTCTTTTGATTCCATGACTGGAAGATGGACTGATCAATGCTGCAACACATTCTAAAATTTCCGGTTATTTAAGATATCACCGTATGAATGACAGACTTACTCTTTTCTTTATTTTAGGGCCTTTGTAAATTCTAGTCCGAATGATTATTTCTCCATCCATCCATTCTTTGGTGCTGATAGAATAGATAAATATGAGGGTTACAATTCCTTTACAATCACTGGAAAATTGTCATCATCATCTTTCAGGAGTCACATGGCACAAGCACAAGACGGGCGTTGGTTGCTATAGGTGTGGATGCATTTCGTGTCGCTTTAATCGATAATTTTTTCATCGATGTTTGCGTATTCTTCTATCCTGAACCATTGATATAATTTTCATTAACTCTTACCTCTTTTTTTGGTTTAGAAAAAATAGAGAATATGCTTATCTTTGTATCAAGATATTTCAGATCTCGAGAAAGTTTTTTTTTTGAATTCTGTAAAATTCAGTCTTATTTGGAAAGTTATTTGAACTAAAATGAAATTGGATCGCGAGTCTGTTACGCCACTTATTTCTTCCTTTTCATTTTTCTCTAATTGCAATGATGCTAATAAGTAGTGACATGATTTCAGATGTATTTTATTGCTCGATAAAGTTGACGAGATGGTGTGTAATTAAGACTTGAGAGAACTTTTTACAGGAGTACACAAAAAATAAACCCTGTAGCATTAATAAGGCCTTTGGAACAAAAAAAAATATAGGATTTATATAATTTTTAGTATAACCTAAGAAATATAGGATTTTATTATAATCTGAGACAGATCTCCAAATTTGTTTAAGAATTTTCTAAAATTGCTCGAATATCTTCAAATTATGATGATTCTATCGATCAGGGATCACTCACTCCTTGATCAATTAATTGTGAAAGGTTGCATTACATAGCATTACGTCCATGTCAATCACAATCAAATGCAGTTAATTTCAATGAGATTTTACGCGTGCATTGTCATTTTGGAGATGTAAAAGGACTTTATACAAGAACTATACAAAATTAACACTTTTATTAAAAAGCTAATTACCTTAATATCTTTTATCGTGAAGCTACCTTTGTTCTCTCCTCTTCTCTCCTATTCAAATCTCCAAAACCTATGATTGTCTTATTGATATTTTATTTGAAAAATAATAACACTTAAAAATTTTATTATTGTTCATTACAGCACAGTATTTATCACTGATCGTTTAAAGATAAAAGAAAATTTTAACAATAGTATGGAAGCTCTCTTTTCATTTCTTTTTTAATTGTTTAATTTCTTTTTAATGGCAATTTTAAATATGATCAGCAAGATTATAAAATTGTTTAGTTTTGACTCTTCGATCTTCGATATAAATTGAACTGCTAGCATAGATGAACCCCTTGCAGATTGTCTTCCTTTCTCTTCCCCTTAGTATTCCATTCTATCCACATCCTATCTTACCATTCTTCCACTCAGCAACGAATTCGAATACGAAGTATTTACTCTGCTGAATAATAAGCAAGATGTATTTAATTTGTTTTCTATTAACCGTCGGAAATATTTCACTTTACTGTCTATAATTTTTATCTGAATAAAACGATTTTAAGAAATAATTTGCAGTGAATTGGATTATCAATTAGAAAAAAAAATGTCAGCACCGCCACCTTATCAGTCACCACCATGTCAGGTTAGATATATTTCAAATACTGCATTTTATGGATGGTATTATTTCTATGGACTTCTAATATGAATTTGAAGCTGTAAATAACATCGACGAAAACTAAACTGTAGCGTGATGCAAATGAAAAAAATGTCCGATTAGAGCTCGTGACATATCTTCCAAGAAAAATTTTTTGACCATATTTGGATTGGATCATTACAATTTATGAAATTATTTTGAAATCCGTACAAAAAGTCTGATTAAGTTTTTCGCAATAACTAATTGTATTTACAGTATTTTCTGTCAGGAGTCTCTTTTTTCTTAGCAATGTATTTTCTTCAATGCAATGTAAAGCAATTTTTATTCCAACCGTTTTTACAATTGTTTGTTGCTTCTAAGTTCACATATTTGATCTTTACGTAATGCTCAAATATCTCAGTCTTCCTTTTGAGAGAATGATTGAATGTTATCATTTAAAAAAAAGTTATTGAAAAGAAATAAAACATGATATTGCTATTAGGTGACAGTGATTGTGATTGTTGATAACATATTGTATTGAAATAATATAATATGTTTTGTTGAAAAAAAAAAATTTTAACTAGAGTAAAAAGTGATCGATTGAAAGAGATTTTCAAATAGAATCGTTGTTGTATGATATTAAATTGTTTGATTATTGCACCAAATGTTATTCTTCTTTTAGTATCCATCACCCCAAAATTATGGTGGACCTGGCTATTGTTATCCACCACAACCTCAGCAACAATATTATCCGAATCAACCACAGCCAATTGGTTATGGTTATGGTCAGCAACAGCCAATTATGTATGTTTAACGAATTTTTTCAGTTTCTAATAAAAAAGTGAAAAATTGGAAAACATTGCTATCTCGGATTTTCTATCACTACCTTATACACACAGCCCGAATACATCATAATCGTTGGATGATTTCGAAACATGATAGAATATATTTTCGAAATCAAAGGTGACATGCTGGCAGTTAAGGACTGACAACAATCTGAACCGAAAGTGTTTTAATAGCAGATGTTTAAGTAGCCTTATGCTATGCTATTTATAATGCACAAAAAACGTTGCATTGAATAATTGCTAATGTTAATTGGCAGTTATTTCAATTGCTTCAATCCCATTCATTTTTTGCATACATTTTCATTTTCCCACGAAAATCCTCCCAATTATTTTATCCATTTCCATTAGACAATTTCAAAACGCCATTTTGAATATACTCTGACAATAACTATTTGAATAATTTTTAGCAGTAATTGTTTGAATAATTTTTGGCAACAATTGTTTGAATAATTTTCTTTTTTTTATTTTAATCGATGAATTTAAAATTGAATGTAATTGTTTTATTATTTAGACAAACAGTGGGACCACCTCAAAATTCAAGTAACAACTCAAATAAATGTTGTTTATGGGCATTGCTAGGATGTTGTTTCGGTTGCTGTTTGGCAGAATGCTGTGATTAATTGATTAACTGTTTAAATAGTTTGATGCTATTAACTT